AGGTATCGTAGAGAACATAGTTATCATCTTTACCGTCGTAGCAGAACTCCAGAGTACTAGGCTTAATAAAGATGGAAGGTTTGACTCTAGATACCGATATAGATGATAGAGAGACAACATGGCTGATGTGCATAACAGCAACTTTACGTAACCAATCCATATCACGCAGTGATAGACGGGGTTCAGTACCGTCAACTGTAGAAACTTGAGTAGGTCGTTCTCCCAATCGAACAATGATACCATCAGGCGATATAGATATAGTGGTACGTAGCTTAGCCATAGTAGAGCATCCAATAATAACAGGAGTACTCAACTCATCAGAGGCGAGTAGGAAGGTATCTTTTGTAAAGGTATTCCCATAGCCGACCTCTAGCTCAACCTTTCCTAGAATAGAGAGGCTTGAGCCATTAGCAACATTTACCCGCCCTTGAGTAGATGGGTCACCAAAACGTAGCTGTTTGCTAGTGATCTTTCGTAGAGTCCCAACTGCGATAAGGGAGACGTCAGCGCCGGTATCGTAGAGAACAGGTCGTACTACACCGCATACCGATAGATCACCAACCACCATAGAGATCCGTGAGGACTTTGAAGGCGTTGTTGAACAATATGCTCCGTTGTTGGCATGAAGAGCATTTGAGTTAGAGTTGAGGTCGGTTGAGCTAAGGGGTGAGACCCAAATAGTAGAGGCTGAAGTGGTAGACGATCCAATAATATTAGCCTTAGAAGATTCATCCATAACTTGAGCATTCGTAGAAGGCGTTGTGGGACCAGGCTTGGCTGAAGAGGGTCCACTCTGCCGCTTACCACCCATCTTGAACTTGTGTTTAGTAGACTTCATAGTCTTGCCTTTACCTTTCTTGTGAGAGTCAGAGTCAATGGGCTTGGACGCAGGGCATACATAGGCTAGATGTCCATGCTGTAGACATCTTTGACAGTTCAAGGACTTAGGGGGGATTTCACACGAATCCTTAGTGTGATTAGGATTACCACACTTAGAACAACGGGACTCGAGGTCGCTAAGCTTACCACGACATAGACGTGCTGGGTGACCAGATTGAAGGCACCGATAGCACTTGATAGACATAGGGTCAGCACCAGTAGAACATAACTGTGGCTCCTCGTAGTCGGTAGTCGTATCACCTAAGGTGTGAACCTTAGAGGTA